TATAGCATCGTAGTTTTGTATGTTGGCTAATAATGCAAGTATCAATGCCCTTTACTGGTTTCCTTTGAACTTTTTTGTTCAATGTTCACGAAAAAGCTTTCGACAGCACTTTTTTTTAAGTTCAGAACTTAGTACCTTGCCGATGATCTTCCGTTATTAAATTCTTAATTATTTCCCCGCTTAATTTAGCGGTTTTGGATTCCATATTGTACCAATCAATTTCCAAAAAGAGTTTAGCGAAAAAGCTCTGAAAATGAAGACTTGAATCCCAAGGAAGTGCTTACTAAGGGTTAGTCACGATTCACTTCAAAAGAGGACACTGATGTAGGTTAACTGCAAGCAAAGGCTTCTTAATTAAGTCGTTGACCGGATTTTCGTGAGCTACCACTCTAGAAGGATGAATGAAAACACAGCTCTTGGGAAACTGATTGAAGTTCTACTTTTAGTTAGCATAAAAATACAAACAGAAGGCTTCGCACAAGTTCTTCCACGTTTTAAAACTGTCATTAAGAACCAAATCAACTTAGAAAAGGTAAATACAAATCAAATTTTTTAGCGAGCATAGTGCAATACCGCCTGTTGGCCTTTTAAAGGGAGAAGTACACATTATATATGTCTGGTCTGAATTTCAAAACCCCTTGTTTCGCGTATCGAGGAGGACGCAATGTCCCTTTCTGTTTTACTGTTGTATTTGCGATTGTTCTTCATCGCTTTCGCAGTCGTTCAATCCCGTTACATATGTCGCCGTTTCAACGCTGTATTTTCTCGGAATTTTTCTTGTCGGAAGTTCTCAGCGCGAGTTTGGGAAAACAAATCGACGGGTGTGCACGCTCAGCTGAAATCATGGTCAAAAAGGGAGGCAGAAGACATATTTGGTATGATGTGGGTATCCCCTGTCAAATTTAACTGCATCGGTATTCTCTAAGTTGCTTTTACCATTTTTGACCATCATGCGCGCTGCAGCACGCAATGGATCAAAAGGGTTTTTTAAATGCTCAAGTGGTCGCCTTTTTATGGGCGGTTATTTCATTATTATTATTATAACAAAACTTATTGCTCTCCAAGGTTTCAATTTAAGGGATTCAAAGGGAAATGAAAGGAGTATTGCTTTACTTATGATACCTTTGTCCTGTTTGTGTTAGATGGTGGCACCAAACTCAGGGACACAGTTCTTGATAGACCCATTACAAATCATAGCAACTCGGGTTAATTCTTTTGAAATAATCTCAAAGATTTTGTTCTAAAAGTAGTAAGGCTAATTTGCAAATTAAAAACATTGCAGGAGAAGTAGCGCCATCTAAGAAAACAAACAAATCCTATCAAAAACAAAGGGTATAATTCGATTTGCACAATATTCAGAAATTACGTGTCAGTATACATACGACCATTAATCACAAATATTTTGACAATCATCACCTTCGTAATTATAAAGTGATAACGGCTTTCTTTGCGGTTCAAAAAGTAAAAGTTCTTTTCTTAGCCTTACGAACACAGCCGCCTCAGCTCTCATCGCCCCTAGCTGGCCCAGCCCAATTAAGGCTAGGGTGTTTGATAGATGTTAGTTCTCGGCAATGTCTCTGTGGTCTAGAGGCATTTACAGAGCTACTCACTCGGTAGGGTCGGTGAGGCGGCAATAATTTTCGTTTTACCCGGTCGTTTTGAGTAATTTCACCTCAAATAGGATAAAGAGACCTGGAGCAACGAGAAAGAAAAACATATCAACTGTGGGCGGTTTTGCTAAAATCGCTTTACGTACAACTTAGAGGGTATTTGTGAGTTATTGAGCAATGCTGTCATAACAACTCAAGCTGCTCCGAATATAGACGACAGCCTAATCCGGCTAGATATGTTTTAAATGTGTAATAGCGGCTTTTAAGTATAGCGATGATGAAAACAAAATAAAAACAAAATAAAAACAAAACTGTACTGGATCTGATCTGGCGCTCGAAGCCCAATCAATTCTTTACAAAATAGAAAAAAAGGACTGAACTCTGTAATAGGTACCCTGCGCAAAAGAATAAAATAAGAAAAGGTCACATTAACATTTTCGGTATATGTTTATGTTTCAATTGAATCTTAGTTCAGACACCACTCATTGGGTTTGTCGTTGCATGTCCATGGTTTTGCACTCTTTCACCCCTTTAAGATTAGACGCCCGTGAACTGAACTCTAGCCTGTTCCAAACGTTTAGATAGTGGAGACCGGTGCGAAGTCAAGAAAGCGATGAAAAGCAGAAGGGGACTGGGGAGAGAGGAACGACTGGAACTAACTGAACTCGAATAGGTCCCAAACTGACAGAACTACTGAAGTGTATGTATATGTTGCGGTTCAATTTTATCCTTGGTTTAAATTTTCTTTTCTTTTTTGGGGGTATGGTAATGTATGATAATGAGTTTGAAACAAAAGAAAACAAAATTTAAACCAAGGATAAAATTCAACCACAACATATAAGCCGGTTGGGTCAGACACAGACACCGAAGCAGCTTTAAGCACCTGAAAATTATGCGTTACTCCCCAGATGAAAAGCTAGGTTGACGCTTCCGTCAATGCCGTTCCCAAGCAGAAGAACGGCAGAGCCAGTTCCAGTTGAAACAGGCATTTCTAGTGGATGATGGGCCTGTGAACGGGCCTTCTAGTAGCGGGAGATGTAGAGAAGAACTGAAGCGCCAAGTTCTCCTGGGAGCCTGTTCACGGGGTAAACTGATCCAGATGCCGAAATTTCACCTACATTCGCTAATGAAATTCAATTACTTTCGGCTGATGAAAGGTGAATGGGGCCGGAATCCTTGGAACTAAAAAAAAGGCGACAAAATACCCAAGCTTAATTGATCCACTTATAGGGCACTTAACACTTCATACCAAAATAACTTCTCTTTCTTGAAAAGGGATCACTAATCATTATGAAGTTTAAAATGTTCTTTACTTTGGACTACATCGCAGTTTCTGAAAATCTGCGACACGACAGAGGCGCAAAATAAGTCTATACGTCTCTATCTTTTTCTTCAATGAGGCCTTCGGTCAACCCGGAGCGTGCAACTGCCATAAATTCGGGCAACGGCGTTTTTACAAGTGAGTTTATTTTTAGATAAGCTTTTCCCGCGAAAAATGACTGTTGTCGCTTAGACCTTTTCACAGTCGGCTGTTTCGAAGGTGAGTTTGATTTCCCTTTGCGTCAATTATGCGCTGTCGCCGATGAAGTAGACGTTCCGGGCTCTTCTACGTTTTGCAGATCTTTGCCTCTGAACCGCTGGTTTCCGTGTAAATACTGAAATTGTCGCTTGAAGTACTGTCAGAAGATTCCTCTGAAGATTCCTCACGTGCGTCTGCCATGCTTTTTTTTCAATGTGAAGGAGTTGTCCTGGTTACGATTAAAAGTTTATTATGGATGACGCACTTGCTTGTGATTGGCTTTTCGAAAGCAATTCGCGGGAAAGGCTTATCTAAAAATAAACCTACTTGTGAAAACGCCGTTGCATAGGCGCAGTATGGAAGTTAGACGCTCCGGGTTATAGGCTCCTGGTCATGTTTATGTTTCTTGTTTGTGGGTTAATGCCACCAGCAGCTATTCATTTTGGTCGCGCCCTTCGCTGAAAATTAATTCTTTCCTTCATAACAATTCTGCGAATAAAGGGTTTTGTTTTGACTTCCACTGAAATGTCACGTGTTTTAAGTCACGTGGTTGCAGGCCAAAAATAATCTATAATTGACACCTCCTCTCAAATAAACGCCCCCTGTCTAATAGCCGCCGCCCCCCCACCCCATAGGCTAAAGATTACTATGTCCTTCACGAGGATTCTGCTATCAAATTTGAGATCTGAAAGAGCGATATGGAGCTTTAGAAGACATAGATGTATCAATGGATAGACTTCACATATATTCTGGTTTTTTTTTTATAAGCTGTCAAGATATTTTCGCTGAACGCATATTGGTTTTGTTGAGTTTGTTACAGCTATGGGAATAAACGCTTCAGTCCTCTTGGACCCCTACCCTACAAATAAATAAACGCCCCGGGCTTCTATCATATCGGTATGAACGCTAAAACTGGAAAAAATATTGAACCTACATCACGCGTACTTTCCTGTCGAAGTAAATACTGCATTAAAACTGGAAATGAAAATATCGTCTCGGACTTCCGCAGGAGAGTTAACACATAAACTAAACTTTTCGTTTTCCACTACATGAACTAATTAGAACTGTGCGACATTAGCTTTTAAAACCTTCGCATTCTACCATCGAGTGGTTTATGCGAAAAAGAGAGTTATTTTAACAACATAACCGACCAGTCCTTAACGTTTGCGGAAATGAATTGATTGATAATCACTTCCTCTTCAGTAATTGACGTAATTGGTCTCCTGGATTGTGACTCGTTCATTAAAAGTTGAATTTGTGAAATATTTATCAGTTTACGAAATGACGTTAGGTCATGAACAAAACAGAATATCAACTTACGGTATAAAGTTTTCAACTCATGTTTGAATAAATCTCTTCCTCGCAGGTTAGTAAAAAACCTACAACAAACCAGTCGGGATTTTGCTATGGCTCTTCTTCGAGGATTTAAATAGCCTTTCGTAATGACGCTCAGTCAATATCGACACGAAAGAAAGGTAATTGCGGATAATTAATTTTACACCGTCATTGTCACCAGAATTTAAAATTCCCGACATCTCTGAGTTGAGTTCAATCACCCCTTGAGAATCAATACTATTTTAAGAAAATTTCGTCTATTTATGGTAACGAGCTGTTGCAACTTCCTAGCCATTTGTGTTCCTTTATATTTGAACACTGCTTACGTCTGGAGTTGTAGCTTAAGCTGTATAAATTAAGATGGAATCCGTACCATCTTGGAAACGTTTGGACTTCTTAAATGTCGTGGTCGGTGAAAGTCAGGTTGTTAGCCTTTACTTTCATCACAGTACAGAGCCTAGTCGAGAGGTAAGTCAGTCATGACGGGTCATGGGGTAACATTTCATCATGGTCTGAGCGCTCATGCAGTATACACCATGAACTACATAGTGAGTCAGCCAAATGGCCATGAGCGAACGGGAAAAGTAAAATGTCAAAAGTAAATTAACATTTCTGAGTATTTTGGAAAATGAAAGAAATACAACGGGGACTAATGGTGGCAATGTCTCAAAATCATCACTGACTTGCTACATATATTTCCGGGGAATTTTTTGTGTAATCTGCCTGAAATTAAAGACCCGCGGAAAAATGTTTTCATGAAAAGTAAAAACGGACAGGTTTCCCTTTATAACCTGCTGATTTCTCCCGCCAGAGGCTGCATATGAAAACATCAGTATCCCATTCAGTTACGTAAGAGTTTAACCGGTAAATTGAAACACGCGCTGACTGTACCGTAAGTATCAAATACTCCAAGAGGTGTAGTTTGAGTTTATTCTCACAGCCAACGAATAGCCGAACCTTTTATTAGTCAAATTTGAGTTTCGTACTGTAAATTCCTACAAATTGTCGAGTAAACGAAGATCTTTAATTTACCGTATGGACCAAGAAAACCAGGCTAATAATATACTCATCTTTTTTTTCTTTCTTTGGAATAGGAAGTAGGTTTGTCGTTAAGGATTTCACAGCCTTAAAAAATTGATAGATTACTGGGCAAGGTTAACAAGTTGAAAAATGTGATCTAAACTACATCTCGGTTACCTAGAGTAAACATTTTTGTCGAGATTCAGAGGCAACTGTCGACGAAGCACAATTGATGGAAGAGAAAAGATCTTTGACTCGTACAGTGAGTTATGAACCAAACATGGAACAATTACAGAACAAGAAATCAATTTGTCACCGATTAATCGATAGATTTTCTCAAACACTGTCACTCTGAAAACACAGGCGATTTTTCTACCAAGTCGTGCATGAAACTTGTTGTTTTCATATTCGCGACGTGCCCCGGCGAAAAATTAAATATATAACAAGATTTTTTAGTGACAAATGTCTAAATCATTAATATCGCTCATCAAGTATAATTCCCCGGTATGAACCGGAACAACAAAATCAATACGCATGTTATTCACTATGTGATCTACACGGTACAGTAGGAGCTGACGGTCTGTCGGCCTTGGGCTACGTTTCAGTGCAGTTGCCAATTGTTTGGACTGGCTGCACTCAAAGTAGTGCTACATAAGCAAGGAAGTTTTATTTACCGTTTAGGTAAAACCGTACATACCGGGATAGTTTGTAGCAGAAATAAATGGATATAAACTTTAAAACACCAAATAAGTTTCAGTATAGATATTCTAGGACAGCAAACAGAAAATAAATTGCTAATATAAATCGTTTTCTTCGCGACCACAGTCAAACCAGAACAAGCGGCCGACCTAACGTCATTGTTTTTGAAATAGCGATTTAAGAAGCGAAGACTGAAAACGCTTTAACATGAAAATTCCTCCCACCTTAAAATTTTACTTCTCTAGTTGGAACATTAAGAAAAGGAAAAAACGTAAGGAGAAAACCTTTATAAATTATTTTTCAAAACCAAAAAATATTAATTTGAAATATTTGTTGTTTAAGTTCACATTATTTTCACGTGTTTCTTTGCTAAAAGAAGGCCTGACGGTATAGGTTGCAGATGAGAGTTTCCTTGCCACCCGAACGGAAAATTTTGTTCGCAAAGTGCTCGTCTCACTTTAGAGCCTTTTTTATGTAGTGTCGGAACTCGCTGACTTTTGGACGGACATTGGAAAGAACTGTTTATAGAATTGAACTTCACGATTTATTTGCCAAAAATAACCGCCAAAGAAATTTTTAACTAAAAAAAATTTGCCTCGGGATGAATTGATCAAAAATCCAGCTGTGAGCTTAAGTTCTATTCCCATATAGTTGCAGTACCTAGTGTGCGCTCTGCGTTTCCTGCAATATGTGGACTGATAAGTCCTATTTACCCTTTGCATAATTTCTCTGTTAGACAAACAAGGAATGCTACCCGTACAAACGGCCGGCGTTAAGTGGGTTTTCCGTCTACATCGCACTGGAATTTCCAACGAACGGAAAACGGACAGTTCAAAAACCGCGCATTCCGCATAACGGAACATGTCCCTGCCTAACCCCCATTGCTCGTGCATATTCTTACTAGTTGATCGCACAGGTTTTGACGGATGTAACAAGGCCTATCCTACTCAACAGTTTATTACAAATACCTCCTGAAATCGGGGCTACATCGAAGCCAGTCAGTGAGATATATAGAGAAGCTCGCCAAAAGGTAATTCAGCTGATCAATTTTGAGTCTTACTGATTTAAATGGATTGAAGTTATGCCTTAAAACGCGACCGAATAGAAACTGTGCCCTTTTAAACCATTTTTCGCATTGAGAGTGCTTTTGGGCGTACCTGGCTGATTTTTGCCCATTAAGGAGCCTAATCGGCCCATACAATTCGCCTTTATTTGCACATAGTATAGACTGTTTATAGATCCTTTATTTTCTAACGTGTTTAATTTTTAAATTCAAAAGATATAGTAGTACACAGTTCGCTAAATCTAAATGGTTGATTACATGACCATGTTCGCTTCGGCCGAGATAAAATTTTATCCCCGCATTTACTCCCGCATACCGGGATTCCAGCTAACGGGGCTGGCTGGGTTGTCATGTACAGTAACTGACAAAAATGATCCGGCGCGATTCCCGCTCGGCAAACAGGACCAGCCCGACGCTTGTATTCAACCCCCTTATGCTAGCTAGCTTTTTGTTAATTAAAATTTTGGTCCATGAAAAAGTTATGCGGAGCTTGTAAGCAGACTGAGAAAATCCACAAAGAATTCAAAAGACACAGTCAAATATCCGACTTCTCATTTAACTGACGGTAGTTAAATCATTCGTAACTGAAAACATGTTTTGATTATTGTAATCTTTGCTTGGAGAGTTTTTTTGTTGTTGTTGTTTTTTCATATACCAGAGTCTGAGTCGTGGCCTATTCATCTGCTTTTAGCAGCAGGGACACACCTAGCTAATAAGCTAGGACTGGCTTCAACGAACCCCACCTAGGGACGTAAATTTTCAAAAGCTATTTCAGCCTCACGAGATGCAGCGTTTCTAACGCCGCTTTGGGCGTGTTGCTTCCCCTTCATTTCCTTTTTGTTTACTGAATGCTAGCAGCATTGCTGTAAATATAGTTCTGTTTCACCCGACCACCAACAATTTAATATTAGTTCCCCGGGATTTTCCCATAAATTTCGGATAAGTGTGAGCTGCTGAAAGTCTGAAACGCTCTGATTGATGAGACAATATGGCAACGCGGCGTACAAACCTTTATTAAGTCGTGTATTGGTCAGGAGTAACGGATGATTCGTTTCTCGTGCGAAGCTAGGCATTTACATACTTGAATTTAAGCTGATAAAATTTAGTTACCCTATCTAGGGATCACATCGAAGCTACGCAATGCCAACAAGGAAAAGAATGGAATTAAGGATGGAGACCCTCGAAAACCAGTGTGTTAGACTCGGCAAACGAGAGTGCCTAGGTGTTTGATCATAAACCAACACCGCAGTATTTCAGAATTGTTGTTTTTTCTTTTACTAGATAACGGCAACTGATAAACACGTGGTCTGAAAACTATGAGGCTTTCATAAAGTAAGCGCAATCCCCAGTTAGTTAGAATGTGGACACACCCAGCCAAGCGCCTCCTGCAATCTGAAATAACATGTTCTTCGCCTTTAACCGTCAGATTTATATTTTATGCCTTGAACCCTAGTGTCCTGATCGTTTGTGTTACCTCAGTTGCAAAATCATGTGTTGTATTTGTGACCCCCAAAAAAAAAAAAAAAAAAAAACCTGGTGAAAGTTGATAACATTACAAGACCATTGTCAAAACTTGGAAGAGCAGTTTTTGAACAATTATTTGATGATTTTTTTTTGTGTGATATCGAGAAAAATCAATATTTTGGATATCACAAATATCGAATCTAAAAACACGGAACACATTTTGTCTGACTGATTGATCTTGGAAATCTTGTATTGCGCGCGCAACCTACGGATTAGTCATTTATCTGCGGCAGATAACTGAGTAATTTGTAGGTATCCACAGTTAACTGTAACCTCTTAGCCAATTGGAAGACAAATAGTGAGTACAATGTACGGTATAATAAGTTTAAAAGACCGCTTTTCTTTCGGAGTATCTCTACATTGTTGTCGTCCTGTAAAACGTACGTAAATAGCCGGCTGGAACCACTGTCTCTTCTCGGCGAAGAGGGTGAGTGTATGTTGTTCAAAGACGCTCTTATTACTCTAAAACCTTTTTTATAAGAGATCAGGCCCTTGAAGTTGAACAAAAGTATAACAAGTTTATCTTGCATCCTGTATACTGACATGTAGGGACGTCAGTAACAACATATATGGTTAAACTTAACCATTCTGAAACTCTATATCACGTAACTAAATAACATGTTAAGAACCCGTTCCTGATCTAAGCAAAAATAATAATAATAAAGCTTCAGAAAAGCTTTCAGTCCACGTTTAGACGTTCTAAGCATAAAATTGTTGGAAAAAGAATCTTTTTGGTGTCGTCACCCAATGGTTTCTAACTCCTTCGATGACAGACGTTTTTTACGGGGCGACGGCAACCGAAGTCAAATTTACTTCCGATCCACGTTTCCCGTTTATGATTTTCGTGCTTTTATATCATTTTGCCTGCGATGTTTTGCACTTAGTGATACGTAAAATTTTATTCTGTCGTTTTGGCGATTGTAGGAGCGATTGTCGTGTATTACAGGTCTGTTTTTTTTAACTTTTTAGGCTCTATAGCGTGAAGATGGCTACAAAAAACAACCTGTAATGGAATGGACAGATGACCATGACATTCTCCTGTTGCGTGAAATGATTGCTACCGAATTTTTTCAGTGCAAGAAAGGCAGTTGGCAAAATTCAATCCAGGAAAGATTCGATAATCCAAAATTTTGATTGAGACCGATGGAATCTGCTTCAGGCCAAGTTTAAACGCACGCAACGAGAAGAGCTACAAGCCAGTGGCATTGATTGCGAGTTATCTGAGAAAGA